GTTTCAGTGCCTGCCTCTGTATAAAGGATGAAGCCATGGCTGTTGAAGCAACATTAACTTTGGTACTAATCTGAGTTCTGTCTTAGAAATGAAGGGAGTTGCTAAAGAGGAAGGAGAGCAACCCGCACTTAAACAGCCCTCTACTCATACCTGTTCATCCCATTTTGGAGCAGTGGGAGAAACGTGAAGAGCTTCAGGTCAACCAGATGCCTTCCACAGCGTGAGGCATTGGATTGACTCCAAATATTCCACAATCACAGCTCTTTAAAGCTCTCAAGATTTATGGGTTTCTGTTTCTTGATTTATTCAAAACTCCTTGATGTGGAATCAACAGACAAACCCACGATCAGAAAGGATACCTGGAAGGTAGAATTCAGGGACTGGGGGATCACAGAGAATCCAGCCCCAGTGCAACCAGAGGGGCCCCCAGCTCAGCAGGAGGGAAGGAGAGGGAAAGGCGGAGGCACCAGAAGGGTGCTGGGTGCTGGGAGAGCAGTTAGATGATGAATGGAGCAGAGGCAAAAGGAATTTTCCCTCCTCTCTACTTAATGTCTATCCTGCCAGTAACAGGATTCTCGGAGCTTCCATTCCCCCTATGTGCAAAGTAAGACCCAAGAGTTTGGTAGGGAAAAAAAAATCCTACTTAAAAAGGAGAATAGACCTGAGGAAATGAAAAGATGGAAGGGAAGAGGTCATATTTCCCTGTCATGTGACAGAGAAATAAAAGCTCTCCATCTCAAGTACACACACCATGGTCATAGTTTCAGGTGAACTTCCGGGCATCTAAGAACTGTTGGAAAGACGTCTGTTTGCTGGTATCAAGTAAGTCATCTCTGTCTAATTGAAATAAATTTTGTGTGAAACACAGGAAGCCTGTGAAATGGATACAATTCTGTTTTCTGTTCCTAACCAGGTAGGATGTTAGGCAAACTGTCCTCTGAGTTTTTGTTTTCTCACCTTTAAAACAGGAAAATACTACCTACCTTATATTATAGGTCAGTAGTGAAGAGTGAAGTGTGGTAATACAAGTCCAGAGCTTAGCATCCTTCCTGGCACATTTGTCCATGGAAGAGTAGCTTTCTATTATAATTAGTTGTTATTATTATTCTCATTGTTTTTGTTTATCCCCTCATAG